AGTCCTTCTCTACTCAGTTTGATTACAATCATTCTTCAAGTTGAATGTGTTAAGGTCTAAGTTGTTCAGCCTACTAGTTATTCCAGCATATCCAAACACAGAGGCCTACTGCACTACCTAGAATCTATATCAAGACGGTATCTCAAATAAACATATAAACCTATCCCCTGAAAGCATAAAAGTCTTACTTTCACCCTTGAAAGTGTAATAAATGATAATACCTCAATATGCTCACCCTATAACCAAAGCAAACAAGTGCTAAACTAAATAAACTATGTATAAAGGTATAAATCAATTGAATCAAGTACATATAATAATAAAAACGCAGTGTTCAAAAATTAATAATATAAAACGCAGTGTCCAAAAATAAATATAAACGCAGTGTCCAAAATACCAAGTGTCCAAAAATATTAAAGTCACACACTAAAGATGCAAATCCAAGTCCTTTCTGCAGACACTTTCCCAAAAAGACTCCAAATGCCAAAGTGATCCTCAAAAAAAAGAAACTAAAATAGTGTATTATCCTTAAAACAATAATGTACAATCATACACAACATAAGTGTCACTCCACATCAAACGTGACCATATATGTGAATCAAGTGCTCGACGTGAAAAACGTGCTAGTGAAACACTCTGGTGATCCAACAAATCAAAAAATCAAAGTGCTAGTAGTAGTGCACATTTCTATAGTGTAATGACTCAATACCCTTACCAGATGGCAAAAGAAACAGCACTTTAATACCACTAGGGGTATACACCATCCAGGGAAGCTAATCCAGCCTGGATATGTTCATTGAGATGTCCTCATAGCCTCATGGATAATGCTCCTAGCTGTCATCAGGACCTTGGGCAGGATTACTCCATAGTATTCATAGTACCCATCATATATAAAAAGGATATATAGAGTAATTCCGTATGGTATAAATAAATAACACTTTATTATGCTCTTACTTTTAAAACAGATAAAGAGCACCACAGCTCTCATATCCAAACTTCTTACAGAGTCTCAGCAGCTATCAGAAGCGTCTGGATGTGATTTCTTATCTCCAAACCTTAATGCAGAGTCTTAGCAGTAGACCGGAGCGTCCAGACAAGATCTCTTAATCCAAAAACCCCATGCAGAGTCTTAACAGCCAGCAGAAGCGTCTGGACAAGATAACATTACATGCCAAACCTCTTACATCTGGGTCAGATTTTCCAATTTCCAAAATGACCGATTAGCCACTTCCGGTTCCTCCGTTGTGTCTGACATCACTTCCTTGACATGTTTCGTCTCAGGGACTTATTCATAAGGATGATGACCCCGTTGTATTATTGCTCCCATTACAGTCCATTACAGCCCACTCACCAAGGAACTAAGGAAGAGCACAATTCCACAGAAGTGTGTTTTGCCTGTTTCTACTTCCTGCCAAATTTTACACCTTATCCTGTGTGTGTGCCAAAGGAGACACCATCCAAGTTCAACATCACTTAAAGGGTTGCTGCCCAAGCTAAATATTACTTAAAGGGGCAGCGCTTTTCTTTTGTATTCGCCATTTATTAAGGAACGTCCACCTTTGCTCCCAAGGGGATTTGAATCCTTAAAGTATACCAATAAGGGTCCCATCAACCATGCAGAAGACCTTATACTGCAGTTTAAAGGGACATTAACCTATTCAATTTAAGAGCTCTTTCTTTGCCTCAGAATTGAACCCTGACATCAGCCTCTGAGAGCCCAAAACTGCTTAAAAATATATTATGGATCTTAACACTTGCTAATCTATACCACTCACATAGGTATAAAGAATATTGTAGGTTGTTTAATTTGTTTGATTATATATTACCAATATATACAAAACCACTGGATAACAATTTATTTCAGCTACCCCTGACAAGAGTTTTTCTCATTCCTTGACCTGCTATCACAGGGCAGGAAATTAGATGAAAGCTCCCCAATGGTGCCACATACAGTAATGAAAACTGAAGAATTTTTTTTATTCTTGCCAAGTTTATAACAAAATAAAAAAGTAAAATATTTTAGCTGGAGTTGAAATTTGAGGTGTCAAGGTGTATGATACCAATCTCAGATGCCTCCAGAAATTAAAGCCTAACTCCGGGTTTCCAGCGACTTTAGTTTGCTTGGACCAGCTTGTATAAAGTCACAGGAAATCTGGAGCTTAGCATTAATTCTTGCCTATAGCCAACAGTTCTCAGATTTTTAAAAGTGTCCAGTCTTTGTTCTTTCCCTTGTGAAAAGCTGGTGATAGGACCATGCGGTCATGTCTCCCCCCTCCTCCCTGCATGAGCCTAATTAGTGCAGCACAAGTTCCAATGTATTGCCGAACTGGGCAAAAGACATGTTGGACCATGCCTACTCATCTGAAGTTTATAGGCACATGATACAATCCTTGTTCTTTAGGCATGCTCTGGCCATCATAAATGCCTGAAAGTAGTCTGATTGTGCCTGTACAGACTCCACCATTTTATATACGTGACTTGAGTACTCATGGTAGACTTTGACTGCCTCCAGGGACCCCCACTGAGCAAGCTCAAAGAACTCCAGTCCAGCACCTCAGGAAAGTTATAATACAAATTCGGCCTTTAGTCAGCAGATCATTGATCAAAGCCAGCGTTTATATAACAAGTCTGCTCAGCTGCCCTGAGAATTGACACCTAATATTGTACTTGGAGGGTCTGGAGGCAGAACATTTCAGTTTCATTATTTTCAGCTATCACTGTGATTAAAATCAGAACAGATTGATTTGTACAGGGCTGGTTGCCATGACAACCACTTCTTTACTGCCTCCCACATATTGTGACCAAACAGCATTTAAGATAAAAAAGAAAACCATAGGTAAGCAAAAAGTATGGGCGCTGTGTGCCAATTCTCGGGGGGGAAAAGTGTCTACAATTCATTATCCTGTGTGTATAGCAAAATTTCTATCTGCTGACAAAAGAACTCTAGGAAATGGTCTGTCATCGCATGTCAAACTTATGTTTCTCAACATGATGCCGTCAGCATGGTAGGAGTTCTGGTACGACCCTGTTAGATACTAACTGATCATTGAGGCATCGAAAGCAGAACTTCAGCTGAAAGGCAGGTTAGTCTGCATGAAAGAGAATTTTAAAACATTCTTAAATATGTATGAGAAACTTTTCACAGCAAATGGATATAGTAATACATAGAAAACGATAAGTAGATTAGGATAAGCCTGATTGGGCATTTTTATGTTTGATTTGCCATTGGGAAATAAGCGGCTGTTGCTCATTATGTCTGTCAGTCACATGTTACGTGAAGGACGCGATATCAGCTCATAATGAACTGGCCGTAATGCTGGAATTTATAGGAAATTTTGACAAGATACAGCAGCAAAAAAATCAGATATGATGTCTTTCATACAGTAACCCTGTAAACCAACTCAATTTTAATTTGCTGTAGTAAAATTGCTAAAATAGGATTTTTAAATTGTGGTTTCAGTTTAGTGTATGTTGCACATTTCTGCTGATCTTTGCACCACCTTAACTAATCCTGAAGATCACTTTTAAAAATAGCTTTCAAAAGCAGTTTGAGAAATAATGTATATGTAAACATTTTTTTAAAAGCATATTGGAATTGACGATACTCTGTTGGTAATAGAGGAGCTGCTCTAAAGAGCAGTATATTGCTGTACACAGCATATATCCTATAGGTATAAGCATTTTTCCAGCCTTAAATTGCTTATATTGTAAAATTAGCTACTACTCAGTACTAGGCTTTAAGTGCTATTAAAATTAAATACATGGTCATAAACATTTGGGAAGTTTATTTGTGTTAGACAGATTTCAGTTTTATTTTTAAAAAGTATTTGAAGTTTATTCTCTTTCGTGTTATAATTAGGGCAGCTATACTACTTCTTATAGTTTGGATTTCGACTCCTACCACAAGAAGGCCATTATGGGCCGATAGTTTTCTTTTAATTTTTCTTGTTCAGATATGATTGTTTTTTTTTGTCATACCGCTGTCATGTGATCGATATGTATATTTAACTCGACTAGCTCATCCTTTATGGATCGTGAACAGTTCTCTGGAAATTTCCTTGGACATTATTAACTGTTTTGTATTACACTGCTCAAAAACATTAAAGGAACACTTTTTAACCACTTGTCTTCCTGAGGATTTACCCCCCTTAATGACCAGGCCTCTTTTTGCTACTCGGCGCTGCACTAATTCAACTGATAATTGTGCGGTCATGCAATGCTGCACCCAAACGAAATTTACGTCCTTTTTTTTCACACAAATAGAGCTTTCTTTTGGTGGTATTTGATCACCTGTGCGCTTTTTATTTTTCACGCTATAAAAAAGAATGAAAATTTGAAGAAAAATTATATTTTTTACTTTCAGCTATAAAAAATATATAGTAAACTCAAAGTTAGTTATAAATTTAGGCCAAAATGTATTCTGCTACATGTTTTTGGTAAAAAAAAATCCCAATAAGTGTATATTGCTTGCTTTGTGTGAAAGTTATAGCGTCTACAAACTATGGTATAGATACTGCAATTTACGCCATTTTTTTGCTATACAGCGCTGTGCTAGTTTAACGGACAATTGCGCGGTCATGTAATATGGTACATAAATTAACCACTTGCCTACCGGGCACTTATACCCCCTTCTTTACAAGGCCAATTTTCAGCTTTCAGCGCTGTCGCACTTTGATTGACAATTGCGCGGTCATGCAAGATTGTACCCATATGAAATTTTTATAATTTTTTTCTCACAAATAGAGCTTTCTTTTGGTGGTATTTAATCACTGCTGGAAGCTTTACTTTTTACGCTATAAACAAAAATGTGCAAAAAATTTGAAAAAAAAAATGTTTTCTTTGTTTCTATTATAAAATTTTTCAAACAGGTAATTTTTCTCCTTCACTGATATGCGTTGATGAGGCAGCACTGATGGGCACTGATAGGCGGCACTGATAGGCAGAACTGATGTTCACTGATAGGCAGCACTGAAGGGCACTGTTAGGCGGCACTGATAGGCAGCACTAATGAGGTGGCACAGATAGGCAGCACTGATAGGCAGCACTAATGAGGTGTCACAGATAGGTGGCACTGATAGGTGGCACTGATAGGCGGCACTGATGATGGGTACTGATAGACAGAACTGATAGGTGGCACTGACTGGCATCACTGCTGGGCACTGACTGGTGGCACTGCTAGGCATTGACTGGCACAACTGCTGGGCACTGACTGGCACAACCGCTGGGCACTGACTGGTGGCACTGACTGGCAGCACTGCATTGATGGGCACTGGTGGGTGGCACTGGTGGGCACAGGTGGGTGGCACTGCTGGGCACAGGTAGGTGGCACTTCTGGGCAGAGGTAGGTGGCACTGCTGAGCACAGGTGGGTGCACTGCTGGGCACAGGTGAGTGCACTCCTGGGCACAGGTGGGCAGAACTGATGGGTGGCACTGCTGGGCACCGATCATCAGGGCCCTGATGATCGGTGCTGATCCCTGCTCTGACAACTGCCGGTTCTCGCAGTACTTTCCTCGCACTCTGACAGCGTGAGGAAGGTGCAGCCGAGAACCGGCAATTGCATTTCCCAGTGATCAGCGTGTCATTGGACATGGCTGATCACGTGGTAAAAGGCCGCTGTGATTGGCCTTTTACCACATCACGTGATCAGCTGTGTCCGTAGGACTCAGCGATCATGGAGATCGCCAGGTGCACGCCGAGCGCGTTCTGGGAGGACATCATATGACGCCCTCCCAGAACTGGCCAGCCGCAGTGTAGCTGTCATTTGGCTATCTGCGGTTGGCAAGTAGTTAAATGTATGTCCTTTTTTTCACACACAAATAGAGATTTCTTTTGGTGGTATTTTTGGTCACCTGTGCACTATTTATTTTTGGCGCTATAAACAGAAAAAGTTTTGAAGAAAATAAATGTTTTGAAAAAAAAACAATATTTTCTCATTTCGGGTCATAAAAAATATCCAAAAAAACTAAAATTTCGTCATCAATTTAGGCCAAAATGTATTCTGCTACATGTTTTTGGTTAAACAGATCCCAGTAAGTGTATAATTATTGCTTTGTGTGAAAGTTATAGCGTCTACAAACTATGGTATAGGTAATGGAATTTACTTTCTGACTGCCCATCACATTTCTTGAGGTGCTAAAATACCAGGATAGTACAAACACCCTCAAATGACCCCTTTTCGGAAAGTAGACACCCTAAGCTATCTGCTGAGAGGCATATTGAGTCCACGGAAGATTAATTTTTTCCCACAAGTTTCTGGAAAATGACAAAAACATTTTTTAATTTTTTTTTTTACACAACGTTGTCATTTAAATGATTTATTTATCGCACAAGCCATAGGTATATGTGGAATTACACCCCAAAATACATTCTGCTACTTCTACCGAGTATGGGGATACCACATGTGTGAGACTTTTTGGGAGCCTAGCCACATACAGGAGCCTGAAATCCAATGACCACTTTGAAAGCCTGAAGGTGCGTAACTTCCTCATTACACTTCCTCACTAGCTATCACAGTTTCGATGGCCCTGACATGCCAGGATAGCACCAACCCCCCCCCCCCCCCCAAATGACCCCTTTCTGGAAAGTAGACACCCCAAGGAATTTAAAAAGAGGCATGGTGAGTATTTTGCAGATCTCATTTTTTCGCTCAAGGTTTTGAAATAGAAAAAAAGAATAGAAAAAATATGTTTTTGTTTTTTTTCTTCATTTTCCAAAAACTTGTGGCAACATATGAGATCTGCAAAATACTTACCATGCTTTTTATCAAATTCCTTGGGGTGTCTACTTTCCAAAAAGGGGTCATTTGGGGGGGGGGGGGGGGGGGGTAGGTGCTATGCTGGCATTTCAGGGCCTCCAAAACTGTGATAGGTAGTCTGGAAGTGTAATGAGGAAATAAAGCCCTTTAAAAGCCTGAAGGTGCTTATTGGATTTTGGGGTCCTGTACTTGGCTAGACTGCCAAAACATCTCTCACATGTGGTATCCCCATACTCGGGAGAAGCAGCAGAATGTATTTTGGGGAGTAATTCCACATACACCCATGGCATATGTGAGCAATAAATCATTTAAATGACAATTTTGTGTAAAAAAAAAAATTTTTTTTTCGTCATTTTCCAAAAACTTGTGGTAAAAAATAAATTCTTCTATTGATTCAACATGCCTCTCAGCAAATAGTTTGGGGTGTCTACTTTCCAAAAAGGGGTCATTTTTGGGGGTGGGGTATTTTATGCCCAGCATTAGAAGTTTATGACACACATCATTCTCGCGCAGCGATTTTTCAAAAGCAATTTTTTTTTTATAAAATACACTTTTTTTTACTTTTAATGCAAAAACACAATATATTGGCCAATTATTTGGTAACATATAAAAGATAATGGTATGCCGAGTAAATAGATACCAAATATGACATGCTTTAAAAACTGCGCATGCCCCGTGCAATGGCGACAAACTGCATACATTTTTAATATCCATAGGCAACATTTTAAAAGCCTTTAAAAGCTACCATTTTAGATTTACAGAGGAGGTCTAGAATTACTGCCCTTGATCTGACGTTCACGGTGATACCTCACTTGCATGGTGCAACCGCTGTTTACATACCGATACAGGGTCAACGCTTGTGCACACAGGTGTGCGCGCATGGGAGGGGCGAGTTTTTTATTTGTATTTTTTTTAAGTTATTTTGATTTTTTTATTATTTTTACACTGTACCTTTCTTTTTTTTTTTTTGATCACTTTTAATGCTATCACAGGGAATGCAAATATCCCCTATAACTTCAATGGGCATTGTCATATATTCTTTTTTGAGAAATCTGGGGTCTATCAGACTCTAGATATCTCCTCTGCCCTTACATTATCTAATCAAACCAAAATCGGTGTGATCTGATGCTTTCCCAATTTACAAATGGCGCTGTTTATATCCTGCAAAACTGAAGTGATGAAATGCTCATAGCTTCCGATTCCTTAGACTATAGAGATGTTTGGCACCACTCTGGTCTCCAATCAGCTCTATGGTCAGCTGGCAGAAACACCGGCTGCATTCTCAGGTTCCCCCGATGGCACGGGACTGCCTGAGAAGGCCGTAGAAGGCAGCGGGGGAGGGGGTCATCATCTTCCGCTGCTTGTAAAAGCAATCCTGCAGCTAATTAGCCACTAGGATTGTTATTACGGATGAAAATGTTACCAGGATGATGCCTGCAGCTGTAGGCATCATCCTGGTATAACCATTCAAAGTCCAGTGATGTACCAGTACATCGCTGGTCTTTGTTGGTTATATATGCTATGTTCTTTTTTTATTGTATGTGTCCTTTTTTTTCCCCACAAATTGAGAGCTTTCTTTCGGTGGTATTTGATCGCCTGTGTGTTTTTTATTTTTTGCGCTATAAAAAAAAAGGCTGACAATTTTGAGAAAAAAAAAAAACAATATTTTGGACTTTTTGCTATAAAACATGACCAGTAAAAAAATTAAAAAATCTAATTTTGTCATAAATTTCAGCTAAAATGTATTCTGCGACATGTCTTTGCTAAAAAAAAATCCCAATACGTGTAAATTAATTGGTTTATGTGAAAGTTATAGCGTCTTCAAATGGCGGAAAAGATACTGGGATTTTTTTTTTACACTAATAATGGAGGCGATCAGCGACTTATGGCAGTGATCAGCGATTTATGACAGTGATCAGCGACTTATGGCAGAACTGCGGTGGACATTTTGACACTGGGGGGGAACTGACTTGGGGTCACTGACATCTCCAGTGACACCAATACAGTAATCAGTGCAAAAAAAAAAACCACTGACACTGTACTAATGGCACTGGGGAGGAGGGGGTTAACATTTTTAGGCAATCAAAGGGTTAACTGTGTGAGGGGAGTGTTTTACTAGTGGGCAGGGGGTGTTTACTTCACAGGAACAAGCTGATCCCGAGAGCTAAACTCCGTAAACAGTGCAGCTGTGCTCTGTGTCACTGTTTGCCGGCAATCGCCGGAACTAGGCGGGTAATCACCCATAGAGCTTGATTGGCATTTGCCATTGAACACCAGAATTGGTAAGTTGACCACTGGCGCTCTGTGCTTTTCACAGATGAGAGCAGGTTCACCATGAGCACATGTGACAGGCAAGAAAGGGTCTGGAGAAGCCATGGAGAATATTATGCTGCCTGTAACATCGTTAAGCATGACCATTTTGGTGGTGGGTCAGTGATGGTCTGGGGAGGCATATCCATGAAGGGACACACAGACCTCTACAGGCTAGACAATGACACCCTGACTGCCATTAGGTATCGGGATGAAATCCTTGGACCCATTTTCAGACCCTATGCTGGTGCAGTGGGTTTTGGGTTCCTCCTGGTGCATGACAATGCCCGGCCTCATGTGGTGAGAGTATGCAGGCAGTTCCTGGAGGATGAAGGAATTGATACCATTGAATGGCCCTCATGCTCACCTGACCTAAATCCAATAGAACGCCTCTGGGATGTCATGTTTTGATCTATCCAGTAGCTCAGTAATGCCCTGGTGCAGATCTGAGAGGAAAAATTCTTGGACATTTGACTAGCACCCCCCCCCCCCACCCTGAGAGCCAGAGTGCAGACTGCAACCCCAAAAGTATGCCTCTGCGTGAACGGTACAACTGAAAGGTAAATGTCCTCTGTGTGTAATGGCTTTTAATTCTGCCACAGCGCTGGTAGAAATGTAAGTTCCCCAGAATTTTGCTGCAAAGAAGGGCCAGTAGTTTGTGTATAAAAGCAGTGGACTCTCTGCAGCCATTCAACATGCCTCCTGCAGAGTCCAAGCTTGATCTCTTTAAAACAGAAAATGTGGCTGCCCCTATGAACATATTTAATTACATATTTGAATATCATTACCAATTTTGTCATTATATATTTATAAAATATATAAAGATATAAGTTGTAGGCTTTTAGAAACAATATTTACTTAAGTTATATAAAAAGCTGGAAATATTTTGCGAGGTGATTATTACAAAAATATAGAATAAAGAAGCTACTAAACAATTTTGATACCAACTGAAAAAAACTCATACATTTCTAAAGCAGCAATAAATTCATAATACCTCAATATAATAAAAATCAAAATATAAAAAATATAAAAATAACTAACATATGTTACAAATCGGGGTCAAATACAAATGAAAGTGCAGAAATTCATATAGTGATAAAATCAGGCAAAGTTCATAAAAGTGTCCATCAAATAAACAATCTGCCATATAATCAATCTTGTGTTCTTGCCAAGTGTCTAAACACTTCCACTTTCTGGTGAAAATGTAGGTGTCTCCACCACCATAAATAACCATTAAAAGGGCTTCCAAATTAGCATAAGCATATACTCCTGTGCTGGACCATAGACTCCACAGAAACTGGAACCACACATGGGA